AACAAAAATTGTTCCATTCTCCACCTCAGTTTCTTTTCCACAGACTCCATCTTTACCCCAACTCAAAAATGTTGCTAATGTAACTCTTCTACCAGATGATGCCATTACTATCTTTACTGAAAAACTTGAATAACTTGAAAAACTTGAATGACTGGATGACTTGAATAACTTCATAACTATAAAGCAACACTATTTATATTATTTACAAAAATTGATTAGACGTTTGTTGATTTTTAATGAGATATTTCATTTTCAATAACGAGTTATATAATTGCATATAAAATAAACTGCCGTCTCTTTAAGAAAAAACGTGAAGTTAACGCGGAAGTTAACGCGGAAATATCACTTTAAATGTCTTTAAAGTAAGACAAACTAGTTTATCGGAAAAAAGCGAAATACATGGATAATTAGTTTATTATCGTTATTATTATAAACATTGAAAAACCAAAACAACATGATACTTCTTGTGCATCACATGTGTATATTTCCCTAATTATTATATAAGTTATTAAATTTTGAACATAATATATATATTATGTTCAAAATTTAATAATATATATGTTTAGTATTATATCAAAAAGTTATCGTCGTTTAAAAAACTGTAAGATTTAGTTAAATTATTTTCTACATCATGTTATACAATAATGATTAAATTGTTTAATTTTTATATTTAAATATAAACAATTACAAGTTGGAGTTTGCTATCCATATTAAAATTATGTCATGAGAGAAGTTTTAAAAGAGTATCTTAATAAAAAAACATCAAAATATTCATCTTTTTTTTTACACAAAACTTATGTTTCAGACGGGCTTTATTTCGCCCGTCTAAACTGACTTAGACGGGGTCGGAGACGGACACGGGCTATAGCCCGTCATTCCTGCCGAAGCCTGTATATATATATATAATATATATATATATATATAATATGTGTATATATATATATATATATATATATATATATATATATATATATATATATATATATATATATATATATATATATATATATATATATATATATATATATATGCTCTCCCTTCCAGCAATTTTTCATGAGTTTAAAGCCTTTTTCTATGGATTCGATATTTCAGTGAAGTTATTTAAGCCGTTTTCATTGTACAGTTGGCCTGTAAACCAATTGAAGGGGCTATTCTAGGAAAATAATTACCAAAGAATGAGGTTTAACAAAAACCTATTACACCTTATTTACTTAAAATTTTTTGCGCTACAATTAAATAGAAACATAAATTCACTAATTACACCTTAATTTAAAACTTTTTGAAAATAAAAATAAATTACCTCTTTGGTGAGATGTTTTTGCTATTGTATCTAACCTATATATATATAAAAAAGATAATGTGTGATACATATTATGTAAGATTACATACATATTACATGCATTAAAAAATAATGTTTAAGTGAAATAATTAGCATGATTTTGTTAACAAAACACAATTGTACTATACAATTGTGTTTTGTTAACAAAATCAAAATAAATTTTTTACAAAAGTCATAAAGATGTTAGAGAAAGCAGTTTCATTCTATGAATTTTAAGTCTTTAGGTTCAGGTAATAAATTATTTTTTTTTTAAATTTTTTTAATCTTTTTAATTTTTTAATCTTTTTATAAGTTATAAATAAAAACTAAAATCTTTTCAAAAGTTTTACATAAGTAATACATTACGTAAATACTTTTTATGTATAAAAAATGTATAATACATTTAAAATAAAATTTTAAGTGTATAATACATTTAGACAGAAAACTAATGTGACTGATTCATAAAAGATAACTCTACAAATTTTGAGTAATAGAGTATTTTGAGTGAGACTTTTCTCCAGTTAAAGAATAGATACCTAAAGAGCTATTACTGCTGTTAAATTTAATCTTACACTACTAAGGTTTGGTACTTTTTTGAATATTGATTGTAAAAAATCTGCTAAATTTTTTAAAAAGCATCAACTAAATGTAAAAACTTAATATTTCCACATTATCCTTCTGTTTAAATAAACCATTCTTGAAATTCTTCTTGAGCTGCTTTTTACAAGCATCTGAATAAATATTTGGATAAACGAATGTCTTTAAGTTCATCATTAATTATGCAAAATACTTAATTATTATCAGGATCAAAATTCCTGCTGCTATACCAATTCATGTTTTTTTAATTTAAATACGATTTAATAACTTAAAAATTAATCATTAAATCAGAATTTATAAAACAGCCAACCAATACTTTATTTTTAATTTGATTTTTAACCACTATCAATTCACTTGCAACAAAGCTGTTACTACAAAGTTCGAGTTAACAAAGTTATTACTAATTACTACTAAGTTGGAGAAAATTAAGAGTAGTGTTAATGAGAAAGGAAACATACTTAAAAAGTTGTAGGTTGTATGAGTGAGGAAACCTTGAACATAGGAGAGATTTCTAATTGATTAAACAAAGAAAAAAACTAGATGAATACAAGTTTTACAGAGTAAAAAGATACAACCTTACTAAATGTAACTCAAACGAAAATGAGTTTGATTTAGTTGATGGAGCTAGAGATGATAGCACGTTTGAGCAGCAACCATGATAGTAACTGTAGAAAAGAGAATGAGATGCAACTTTATGACAATGCGAGAGGCTCAAGTGTGGCCTTTTCAAACCGGTCTAACTACATTTACAATGTGTATTTGAACCATATCTAGAAAAGAAACATCAGAAGAAACAGCCTAAATAGGACAACAGTACTCCATACATGGACCAGTAAAAGTATTGTTAAGGTAAAGAATAGAATCATGAGTAAGAAAATGGCAAGCAAAATAAAGAGAAACCTTAGCAGATGCTAACTTTGCAATGGATATATGGTTTCCATCATTAGTACATAAAAACTCAAGATAATGTAAAGTAGAGAACTCGTTAAAATGGTTGCCATTCATAAAGATAGGAATGTCAATAATATTGTGAATATTGTTTTATGAATTATGACTATTACAGTAGGGAGATCAGATTTAAGACTAATAGCCTGTTCTAAGTAAAAAGAGGAAGAAAAAAAGGAAAGACTTTTTGTCAAGACAAGAGTATAAAATTGAGTTGTTGGTAAATAAAGTCACTTTAGATGTAAGATTGTCAGGAAGACCATTAATCTAGATGAGAAACAATACAGGACTAAGGACAGAACCTGACATTAAATTTAAAAAGATAACTTTACGCAAAAACCAATGCAGAGCTACTGAAGATATTGAGCTCTACACTATTGAAAACACCTAGTTTAAAAAAGATTTATGCTAATTTAAGTGGCGGGTAATTCCACATCAAATTACCCAAAATTTAGTAAATTTTGAACCATGGTTCCTCAAATTTTTTAAAAACATCTTTGGCTGTTGCATCTTTAATAAAAAAGTTAAAACATAAAATTTTAGCTAAAAATGTTAAGCGGTTGACAAGATACTGCAATTTCAACATTGACCTGGTTTCCCAAAATGACCTGGTTTTCATAACATTCTAAAAAAACATTTTTTTTTAAAAAAAATAAGAAATAAAAATGGCAAAAATATGAAAATAAATATATATAATGTTTTTTTGATGCTGAATTCAATAAATGTACTTAAAATGCTGAAATATAAAAGGAACATGCTTAAAAGTTAATAAAACAACTAATTTCTATAATCCAACTTTGGGGCCCAATATCTCAAAACACCCCTGTCAAAATTTTTTTTTTTTGCTGGTAATATTTTCAGCTGCTTATAATCTTACAAGGCACAAAATATCTAACTGGAAAAACAACTAAAACATATGTAACTTTAATTTTAAAGATATATCAAATTTTCAATAAATTAGTTTAAAAAACTTGCAAATAGAATTTTGTAAAATATTAAATTTAGTTATATTTAGGGAAGTCTTAATTATATAATAAATTTGTTATTTGATCTTAACAACTGAAAAAAACATCCTGTTTTGTTTTTAAAATCTGACAAGGTGTGATATTGAAGTGCATTTGTTTTTAAAATTTTGACAACTATAGTTTGTAAAAGTTTATAAAAACTAGTTTATAAAAAGTTCAGTTATAACAACATTTATCTGTAAAATTTTATTTAAATTTTAAAAATTTGATATATATAGATTGTATATATATATATATATATATATATATATATATATATATATATATATATATATATATATATATATATATATATATATATATATATATATATATATATATATATATATATATATATATATATATATATATAAGTATTTATAAAGAAAATTAACAATATCTATCAATGTAAAAAATTATACAACAAAAAGATTCTGAAAAGGTTTGAACTATTTCTATATTCATTTTTTGTTTTAACTCAAAATTATGTAGAAAAGAACAATTTTTTCCTTTTTTTTTAGGAAATACATTAATACTAAGTAACTTATTATAAGATGTGTTCTATTGGTTTATTGACATCAGATGAATGCAATGGCCAACAAGATGTTATTGAAACTTTAAACAATGAAAAAAAAAATAACTATATCATTACGCTGTAACATTGAGTTATCAAACTTAACGATATTATGTGAAAGACATACTACAAAATATTTGAAATTGTATCCTATATGGCAGAAAGCATGTTGTGATCCATTCAATAAACATACAAAGAAAATCACAAGTAAATAAATGTAGAATTTAAATATTATATATATATATATATATATATATATATATATATATATATATATATATATATATATATATATATATATATATATATATATATATATATATATATACTTTTTTAATTTGTATTTTCTAAAACATAAACAATGTTTTGAACAATTGTGCAGATAAGCTTTATACAATTCAATTACTTTTAGAAAATCTCATAGTAGTTACAATAAATGAGTCACAAGTCATGATGAGAAGTAGTTTGAATATTGCTCCTGGGAAGAAACTTTGCAAACCTTGTAAGCAAAAGATTGCCATAAAAGAAGATCTTAAAGAAAAGAAACAAAGCCAGGAACAAGATGAGGATTTTCTAATATCATCATTCAAATCAAAAAGACAGGAGATCAATGAACAACTCAAAATTTTTAATATATCTCCTCTAAAATCTCATTCAAAGTCATCAAAACATATTCTCTCAGAAGGAAAGCGAAAAATTGCGCGCATCAACGAAATGGTAAATAACGTTACTAGAAAAACTGAAAGTCAAGTCAATGTTCCCTCAAAACTGTGTTATGAAACAAATAACATGAAAAAGAAGGCTAAAAACTTTGATGAAATTATGAGCTTGATAAAAGAAAAAATTCTATGTTCTGACAAAAGGACAATTGTTCAACTTCTAACACTGGCACCCCCAAGTTGGTCGATATTAGAAGTACAAAATAACTTTGCAGTTACAGAATACCAAGCAAAAATGGCTAGACAAATTTTTAATAAAAAAGGATTGTTAGCTATCTCTCCATTGTATAAAGGTAAAGTCTTACACAAAGAAATAGAAGATTCTGTTAAATTGTTTTATGACTCAAGTGATTTATGTAGAACTATGTCTGGAAAAAAAGATTATGTTAGCATTCAAAACAATATCCATAAACAAAAAAAACTGCTTTTGTGTAATTTAAAAGAACTATATGTATTATACAAAGAAAATAATCCAGAAATACAAATAAGTTACTCAAAATTTGCTTCACTTAGATCAAAGTGGTGCATTTTGCCAGGTGCAAAATGGTACACATTCTGTTTGTGTTTGTTGTTATCACCAAAATGCCATATTGCTAGTAGATGCCTTAAATATTGAACTAAAGTATAAGGATTTACTTTCGAAAACCGTTTGCTCAGTAGAAAACAAAGAATGCATGCTTGCACAGTGTGATAATTGTCCTGGTAAAGAAACCCTCACAAAATATATGTATGAGATTTTCGGAGAATACAAAGATGATTTTGAGATACACTACAAGCAATGGCAAACTACTGATCGTGTAACACTATTGAGTTTAACAGCAGATGTTTCAACATTTGTATATTCAAAATATGGATCAATCAAACATTATCATTGTTGGCAACTTTGCTGAAAATTATACTTTTGTAGTCCAAGATGAAATACAAAGCTATCATTGGAACACCCAACAATGTTCTTTACATCCATTAGTGATATACATTTCTTATTGTTTTATATCAGACGACATTACACATGATGTAACTTATATGTACAAAATATTTCAACTAATCATACCAATATTAAAAACAAAATTTTCCAATCTGTCCAAATTACATCTATTTACTGATGGTTGCGCAGGACAGTACAAAAATTGTAAAAGCTTTTACAATCTATGCCAACTAGAGAGCGAATTTTCCCTTAAAGTTGAATGGAATTTTTTTGCCACGTCACACAGAAAGTCACCATGCGATGGGATTGGCGGCACTGTAAAAAGGTTAACAGCACAAGAAAGTTTAAAACGACCATACAGAAACCAAATTCTCACATCTGAAGCTATGTATGAATTTTGTATTGAGAAAAAGGTTGTTAACTTCATTTACATAAAGGGGATAGACTTACAATTGCAATGTGAGGAGCAAAAAGAAAGGTATACTGGTGTAACAACTCTACCTGGTACTCATATCTTTCATCAATTTATACATCTTGGAGATAACAGGGTTGGGGCAAAGAGGTGTAGTGCAGACACTAATTATACAATAATTCACAACCTTAAAAAGAAACAAGATATATTTCAACTTGATACTGTCACTTTAGGAGGTTATGTAGCTGTAGTCTATGATGATAAGTGGTGGATCGGCATTGTAACTGAAACTAACCTAGAAGAAGTTGATGTTGAAGTTAAGTTTCTTCACCCAAAAGGTCCATCAATCTGTTTTAACTGGCCTGAAAGAGAGGATTACTGTTTTATTCCTTACACCAAAATTTTGAAAAAACTATCTGTTCCACAAGCTTGCTCTAGTTCCGTTTGCTAGTTAGTTTAGTTTAGTTAGTTTGCTTCTAGTTCCGGTAGAAACTATATGTTTGAAAATGCTGAAATAGAAGAAGTACAAGTAAAATGGGAACAATATTGTGAACTATTACAAACACAGTCAAAATAACTTGCATCTTGAAAAATCTTGTATATTTAAATACATTTTAAAATTACGATTAACTTATTTTAATTTTATTTACAAACATTTTTTGGGAATTTCTTGAAAAAGTAATACATCTTAGATATTAAAGTTTTATATGTTTCAGTTGTTTTTCCAGTTAGATATTTTGTGCCTAGTAAGATTATAAGCAGCTGAATATATTAACAGCAAAAAAAAAAAAAATTTGACAGGGGTGTTTTGAGATATTGGGCCCCAAAGTTGGTTTATAGAAACTAGTTGTTTTATTAACTTTTAGCTTGTTCCTTTTATATTTCAGCATTTTAAGTGCATTTATTGAATTCAGCATCAAAAAAATATTATATATGTTTATTTTTATATTTTTGCCATTTTTATTTCTTATTTTTTTAAGAAAAATATTTTTTTAGAATGTTACTTGGCTGAAATTTTGCATGCAATTTTTTTTATAATTAGGAATAATGTGTCAAAATATAAAACAAAAAGAAGACACATGGTTCAATGGACTGGGTGATTTGATGTGGAATTACCCTGGCTCTAAGTTTTTGATTGTTTGTTTAAAGTCATTTTTAAGCAAAAGTATAGGATTTTGATATTAACCTAACTCCTTTAGGATTTGGATATAACTTATATCCTTATCAAGATTTTATTTGCACAACAGCTGCATATGTTAAGAAAAAGCTGAAAACATTAATGGTCTTCTGTATGTGAGAGCTTTGTTATACTACTACAAATATGACATTACAACCATTTATTTAGACCTTACTTTCAAAATTAAACAAAAACATAAGAAAATTTTGATAGTGGTAGAAATCATAATAATAATTTTCCTAATAACTGCTGCTTGTAAGCAACGGTTTTTAACTTTAAATCTTTTTTGATATTGGCAATAAGTAAAAAAGTGGTGGTCATTTTCCAAAAAAGCCTTATTTAAGTAGTCATAACACATCATGACCAAACACATCTGGACCAAAAACACACAGAAAATGCTCTTCAATGCTAAAATCCTTCAGAAGCTTGAGGATGCTGCACATTAACAAATTTAAATAAAGCATATTTCAAAGACTTTAATAAAAACATTCAAGAAAAGTACTTTATGAACACTTAGCGTTAAATTAGTTTTACTGTTTATGAATTCACATTTTTACATTTTTAGATTTTACTTATATATTTTGTTTACTAATTTCCATTCTTAATTATTAAAGCTAAACTAAGTATTATTATAAAACATTCGTTTTTAAACACACAAATGAATATTAATATTTTGAATATAAGTAAAAACATTGGTGTTATGAACTGTTAGAAAACCCACACTGACCGCCAGAGATTAGCTTACAAGATTATATTAAGACCTAGGTTTGTATAGTTTTTATGGTGATTCTGATGGTTTAGGATAAAAGATAAGTTATTGTTTAATTGATAATTATTGTTGGATTGGTTTAGATTCAAGTTAGGCTCAAGATTAACTAATTAGTGTTCTAAACCACAGTCATACATCTAAAGCTAGAACATAAATATACATTTTTAATTAGTTTCTTAATGAGTATTATTAGTTATTTTATTAATATCATTTTTTTAAGCAAATATCAAAATTGTATATATATTGTTACAATTGAAAAATGTATATAAAAATTTAGCAGCAATATCATTAAGTTTAATTTGATAAGACTTTAAAAATTTGAACTAATAGCTTACAGTTAGTAGTGTACCATCTTCTAGCCTAAAGTTATGTTTATACTTTGCAGCGCATTCTGCATCTGATTCCTTTAAATATTTCACAAAACTAAAAAAAAGAGAACTTTTTTTAAATAAAACTTTATGTTACTTGTGTACAATGAATTATTAAAAAAAACTTTATTTTATATATCATGCTATGTGAGTGTATATATATATATATATATATATATATATATATATATATATATATATACACTAATTCACTCCCAAAATATCTGCAAGCAACCACTATTATATATATATATATATATATATATATATATATATATATATATATATATATATATATATATATATATATATATATATATATATATATATATATATATATATATATATATATATATATATATATATATATATATACTAATTCACTCCCAAAATATCTGCAAGCAACCACTATTAGGTTGGGAATTACTAAAAAAAAAGAATAGAGTAGTAGAGCAAGAAAATGGTTGACAGAAGACTTAAAAAGTTGAAGGTTGCACGAGTCAGGAAAACATGAAGATGGGAGAGAGCTCCAAAGGGTTAAGGTGCGGTGAAAAAAACTAGACAAAAATTTTTTTTTAAAGCATGCAGGGACATGCTGGACATGCTCATCCCATGCAGGGATACAGTAAAAGAATGAGACTTTGCAGAATGACAAATCAAGCAAGAATGAATTTTAGTTGGTCGAACTAGAGATGATAACTCCTTTGAGCAGCAACCATGACAGTATTTGTAAAAAAGAGAAAGAGATACTACTTTAAGACGCTGGGAAAGAGGCTTAAGCTTGGCAGATAGATTGGGTTTTAACACATTTACAATGCATTTTTGGACCTTGTCTAGAAAAGTAAGAGCATCATTAGGAGAACCATCCCAAATACAACAACAAAATTTCACACTGTTTTATATTAGTACTAAGTATTAATAAACATTGTCTTATAACTTCAAAGGAACAAGAAATAATTAAAGTCTTATTGTGTTGTTAGGAACAAAGACTTTAGTATTTAAGGAAAAATTAGCACAAGTAAAACTCTAAAAATAAAAAAAAATTATGAAGCTTTTTTAAAAAATCAATCATAGATAAGAAATTTTAGAAATGTAAGATTTATAGAATCAAGCTCAACATATAACATTCAAAGAAGTTCCAGAGAAGACATTCTCAGTTGATTGGATTCAGTTAAAATAAGACTATTTTTTTTAGAACTAAAAAATGTGTTCCAAGGTACACATAGATCTAATTAATTGGACATTAACAGTGTGCTCATAAATAAGTAATAAAACAATGTACATAATAAAAAATTGAATTTTATAAGTTAATTGTTATTGCATTATTCTAGATCTTTCTATATTTATGAATGGTAATGTCAATGAGTCATCTACCCTTCATTATCTAGGATTAACTTGCAACCTTGTTAGGAGTAAAGATGTTGAAAAAAAAAATTAACAAACAATTAAAAACTTAAAGAACTATTTTTAGGCTCGTCAATTATCCATTTTTCACATCAAAAAACCACATATGGGCTATAAACCATATAAACCAAGACACAATCCATAGAAACCATTTTTTATTAAGTTAAAATTAATATATTGCAAAATTTCTTAATAAGGAATCATCCATAAAATATGTACGCTCAGATGGGGTAGAGGAGGTCTGCAAATGACATATATGAGATAGAGAGCAAGTTATAAAAATAAGGAAACACTAAATTAAAAAAATTATCAAAAAATGTTGATTAGGTAGGTTAAAATTATAAGTACTTTTAGGGAGGTGGCAGGTAATTAAAAAAAGTATATAGAAAAATGTGGGTAAGGAGGATTCGGAGGTCAGAAAGGTGAAAGGGGGAGGGAAGGGGTTAAGAGGGGTCGAAATAAAAGCGTAAATACTTTATGGACAACCACTAAGACCACAAAATCAGAAAACTTTAAAAATTGAGAAAAAACTTGAAATAATAATAACAGTAAGATAGATTAAAATAAAAGATCCAAACCATTAGTTCATAAAAAATCAACTTAAAAAACTTTTTTCCTTTTTTCTCAAGATCTTCTATTTGTTTTTCTATTAACTCAACCTCTTAAATACTTGAATATCTTTAATACTTTTTAATACATTCTCTTTCTTAACAAAACTCTGGTCACTTTTTCTCTGAATGCTCCATAAGAATATTTTCCATCAGTACAATTTTGCTTATTTTGCAAATCTTTAACATCTTGATTCAACTTTTTGATTTCAGCTATGAATTGATTTTTGTTACTGCTCTATTTTCTCTTTCTCCTTTTTAGTGTCATCAAATTCAAATATATTTTCAACAAGCTGATCAAAAAATTTAACCAATGATGATGTGATTTGAACTGTTTTCATAGGCAATTATAAGATCCTTTACGATTCTCTTACAGATAATACAGAAGATTTGTCTATGCTGAAACCATGCTCAATAGCAGCATGGTAATGACTAAGTGTTAATCTAATGACAAAAATCAATTTCATGTAATTGCAGACCCAGGAACATTGGAAATAAAAATCATTAACACAATTATTTGAATAAATAAACTTGAAATAATCTTACTTTGACTTTATTATCCATAAAATCCTTAAACTTGTGAAGTACCACAGTAGCGTTTTTAATGATCAACAATTTTTCTTTAGTATAATAGCATAACTGAGCAATGAAAGCCCACAAAGAAATAAAAGATTTTTATGGAGAAAATTCAATTTAATAAAAGAACTGATTAAAAAATGAAGAATTAAGTATTAGATATAAACTTGAGTGATTTTTATAATATAGAACTTGTATTTGTTAAATATAGAAACACGGACCTAGTGTGTATATGGTTTAATGTGTACACGATTTAGTATGCACACTATTTAGTGTGAACACGGTTTAATGTGCACATATGAGTTTTAGTATGTACTAAGTTCTAGTGTGTAGATGGTTTTAGTGTGTACACGGTTTTAGTATGTAAAAAATTCTAGTGTACATTGTTCATTTTGTGCAGTGCTGCAATATCACGATCAATGACTGTCTACATTTTGATAAAAATGATGTTTTGATCTCCTATTATCAATGCTGGCAGATTAAATTTGATCAGCAAGAACTGCAAGGCAAACTTAATGATAGAAAATTTAAATACTTTAAAAATATAAAGCTAAAATTAGTTTACAACTAAATATTGCAGATTATTGGAATAAAAATAATCTTGAGACCATAACAATCCATAGTTTACAGTATAAAAAAGCTCAAAAATATTGAATAAGCAAAAACACAGAATTATAAAAATACTGAATATTATGATTGGTGGAATAAATATAGCTTGCCATCATAATTTTATCTAACTTTAAAGTCAGAAAAAAAATTGAATTGAATGTTAACTAATTTTTTTTTCAAATGAATTAAATTTTTTGAATAAAATGAATTTGAAATAAAGCTAGAAATGTTAACATTTCTTTTAAAGTCCAAATATAGATTATTAGAATTATTGATTAAAATAGTAATTTAATTTTTCTTAAAATGTTTAAAATTTTTGAGATCATTAGCATTGAATGATTTAATAGTTTTTTTTTTAAGTGTTAAAATTAATTGAATAGAAAGTATAAAATAAACTATAATCATAAAATAGAGGATACTAAATATAAATAATAATAAATAGAACAGACGATTATTTTATTTAATAAGAAATTAAAATCACCAAGAAAAAAGTAAAACCTTTTACTTTTTTCTTAGAAAGATTATCTTTTCATATTATTTTCAATCACTCAAAACAAATGATAATTTTTTAACAAAAATGATATTTCTATCTATGAACTCTTTTTAATTGCAAGTTTCTTTTGCAAAAAAAAAGACCTGCTAGGAAATCAGTAGCTATGAAAGAAAATTTTACTTTTTTGGTTAGCAGGTGTTTTAGAACAATAAGTAATTTTTTTTAGTCGGTATATTTAAAAAACTATGGCAAATCAAAATAATATGCTAATAATATACGACCATTCAAAATAATATGGCGATTTAATAATATGGCAATTCAAAAAAATATATGGCCATTCAAAATACTATGGCAATTTAATAATAATATGGCGATTCAAAACAATGTGAAAAACTGGAGAAGTGAAAAATTTTATAAAAAAACTAATCTTAAAAATTAATTTTTGTTATTCAGAGTTTTGTTGTTAATTATATCAAGCTTTATGACAATTTTTATACTCCTATTAAATATTGCAAAATTTGCACTTAGACAATTGTCCTTTTTATGGCTTAGTTGACTTCTTTTAATTTTTTGCATCTCAGGTTAAAAATAATAAGCATAAATATTGAAAAATAAAAAATAAGAAATTACCAAATTCTGTTGCCAAATGGTTTTTGCGAAACTGAAAACTTCACACCAGCAATATCTCCAACCTCACCAAAAATACTTATGATTTTTTTCTGTAGAAATTATTAATATATTAAATTATAAACTTGCTAATAAGTTTTTGCTATGCATTATGTTTAATTGTATAATTGCATACATACGATTACACACACACACACACACACACACACACACACACACACACACACACACACACACACACACACACACATTTATACATATTTACATACATACAAACATTCATACATACATATATACACACACATACATACATACATACATACATACATACATACATACATACATACAAACACATACAAACACATACAAACACATACAAACAGACAGACAAAATTATATAATTAAATAAATATTTTAAATAATAAATTCACATTTGAAAAGGCTGCAATCAATATTATGTAAGTTTAAGGCAAAGTTGGCAGAAAGAAAAAAATAAAGTAAAATAATTAAAAAAAATTAAAAAAAAGACTACATCGCACAATTTGTGCTCATTTAAGAATTGTCCCCCCCCCCCCTCCTTGTCACAACATTGTAACACTTTAGTAAAAAATTCAGCATGAGTTGTCATAAAACCACTTACTCCTTAAGCATGATGTAATTTATGAACAACCTGTTATCACAAACTTTAGGATAAATACTGGCATTTTTGACCTTAGCATTAACTTATGCTAGACTGAACAAACTGTCATGCAAGGTTAATTTAATAAGGCTTTAGTTTTGCAATTAACATTAGAATTTAACTAAGCATATAGAGATAGACATACATAATTAGAATTCAACTCAGCATACAGGATTTGATTGAGAATTTACTATTAGGGGCAATATTCAGCATTAATGCTGAATATTGCCTCTAATAGTAAATGCTGAAATGCCTTTATACTGAAATTGCCTTTATGCTGAAACAAAGGTTTCATAATTACAATGACCAAAAACAAGGTGGGCAAAAGTTTCGGAATGCATTCCCAACCTAAATGTGTCTAAGGTCGCAATTTTTGCCCACCTTGTTTTTGGTCATTGTAATAATGAAACCTTTGTTTCAGCATAAAGGTTTCAACCTTGTGCAGACCAAAAATAGTTTAAGGTCAGCAACTTATTGCCTTATTTTATTTATTGCAAGGACTGCAGAGATTTTGTGAAATACACCACTAAATATTTATTACATGACAATATATTGATACACCATACTTCAGTTGGTGGATGAAACATGTTTTTGGGACATGACATTTGCAAGGTGTTTATCTAGAACTAGTTGAGTGTATTTATAATAGGTTTTTTACTTATAAAATAAATATCTTTGTCACAAAAAAAGTTTTCCTTCTGTCATACCAGAAAAAGAGGTTGCACACGAATAGTTCTACCATTGGTCTACCTTTGCTCCAAGATGTGACTTGGAAGCATTAAAAGTATAAAAACGTTGTAAAAGTTTTAATTAAAAAAAATCGTCACACATTGCATTATGTTGCAAAAAATATCTTTTCAATATATTTTTTGCAACAGTTATTTAATTAGCACAAAAACGTGTTACTCTTTCTTTTAAATTAAAAAAAAAAAGCTTGACCAAGCAATTTTTTTTTTAATTTTCACATCAAGTTAATGTAAATAAAATTTATTTATTTAACACAATCTTTAATGAAATAATAATAATAATATTTTATTACCTCATCGATATCAACTGGTATATTTGCAACATATACGTCAAATGTTCCTGTCATTTTTAAATTTTTTAAACTTGAGATTATATTTCACGCTTTCTTGACTGATTGACTAAAAATTAATTGCTCACATGTGCATTTAATGTCACATGCAACTATTTGTCGTGAAAAGAACGCACGAAGTATTAAATGGAGTAATTTATTTTGTAACCAAGGCAATTAAAGTAAGAACATGCGTGTTCTCCCTCATTTGGAAAAATATTTAAATTAATAAAATAAAAAAATTAAATAAATTAATTAATAAAATTATTAATTAAAAAAGAAATTTAAAAGTTTCAAAAATGTTAAGGTGGTAAAAGGTGGCAGGGAAAAAGTTATTTTTTTTTTCAAAAAATATTAAATAATTTAATATGCTTTATTTTAATGGTATAAAGCATATATTTATTATATTATATACATTTTAATTTTTTTTGGAAAAAAAAGTTTTTTTTTCCTTTCCACCTTAATATATATATATATATATATAATATATATATATATATATATATATATATATATATATATATACACACACACACACACACACACACACACACACACACACACACACACACACACACACACACACACACACTATATATATATATATATATATATATATATATATATATATATATATATATATATATATATATATATATATATATACTATAAAAAATAAAAGAAAATTAACACTACTTGCATAAAAATTTATAGATGACGTCATTAACAGAATTTTGACCTAATTTGATATGTTTCTTCCAACAAGGATAACTTTGTTGAAAAATGATAAGAATCTCTTGAAATTTTGAAGTTGCAATCTTTATTAGTAATAGTATGTTCTGAGCGAGCCAGAAAAAAATTCAGCAAAAAATATTTACTGTCAGATGCGGTAATTTGGCCATCGTGAGGTAATAAGGCCAATTTAGCATACTTTTCAGTTTTCCGCCAAAATTTGTCAAAGTTTTAAAAATGCAATGTCCCATTCTACATACATTTTATAGCCTAATGTTAGCCTGGCATTTCAATGTCTATTACAAAAAAACTAAAATAATAATAGTCTTGTCGTTAAATGTTTTTGTGTAACATTATTTTTGTCTATTGAGATTTATAAATGCTAAGTATCACCAAGCAAAATTTGCGAGGGGCAATTCGGCCAAAATTTTAACCAGAGCTTCATAAGCTACTTAGGTAAATGCATTTTAAAATTCAAAACATTTACTTCAAGGTAAGTGAGGAAAATAGACAATTTTGAAAATTGGGGTAGTATGGCTACTTATTGATTTAGTTAATAAATTTGCAATTTTTTTTTATTAATTAGTTGCAATATGCCATGTGCATGTAAACTTAAGGAATGTTTCGCACAAAATAACTACCCTAGGGTTAGTTTAGGCAACTTTTTTAACAAATGTAAATATTTTTTATTTTAAACGCATTGTATTTCATTAATGTATTTCATTTCCAAAAAGGTTTCAACCACTTCTGTAGTTTATTTAGTTCCAATGATATCCGTATTTTAATATTTTCAATGCCTAGACTTTTTATAAAAAATTTTTGGCACCGAAAATAAAAAATTTTTTTATAACTTTTTTTCTTTCGTAAAAATTCGCTATAAAAACTATAAAATAATCAATAAATTAATAATAAATAACAATAAAATAAACAATAAAATAACAATAAGATAATAAAATTTTATTAGAAATTAAATCGTAAATCCAAATTATTAACAATCTATAAATAAAATTTTTTTTAACTGCAGAATATGTTTTAAACTTTTTAAACATAATTTTAATTTTATAATACGTTAAGCGTAACAGAACTTCGAGGAGAAATATTAATTTAAATTAACTTTTATTTGAACTTTCTTTAATAAAATGTCAAGTGAAAAACGTGGACCCAAATGAAACAGGGCGAAAACGTCGGAATTCATACAAAATAAGGATAAATCTAAATATTTATCTTTACACAAGAAAAAATTATCTTTACACAAAATAAAAATAATGTTAGTCAACGGTTCGTTAATAGTTTCAGTATTATGATAGATTCAAAAAGAAATTTAACCGCTTAGAGTCTGTTGTTTATTTATTTGATTATTTTAATTTCGTTTACATTAAAATGTCACAGTACAACTATATGCAGTATATATGGTGTTAAAATTAAAAAAATTTCAATACCAGTATAGTTTGAATAAGAAAAATACTCACATATATAAATATAAATATATATACTTACAGATGTACATATATATATATAAATTGCTAACAATTAAACATAAGCTAGGATTTGAAAGAAGATCACAAGATCTTGTCGTCAGAACCTTATAAAATACAAGCTAGCAAAATAAAGACAAGTATAACATACAAAAAATAAAGTAAAATTAAAAAGTAAAAAAGTAATAAAACCCAAGTCAAATAATAATTTTCAAAATATTAGAAGTATATTAAGTGAAAAAATACATTTTTTTTAAATCGAGCTTGAAAAGATAAAAGTAAGTTGGTTGATCGAGGTTTCGCAGAACAATATTATTCCATAGGTAAGGTCCACGATAAGCAATGCAAAATTGATTAAATTTTGTGTGACAAAACGGCTCATTTAAAAAATTTATGAATTTTAAAAAATTTAATAATCTTGTTTGAGAAATTTTAAAGAATTTAATAATCTTATTTGAGTAAAAACAGGTTTTGTTTGTAAAATATAAAAAGATCATCATAGTTAATTATGCGGATCGCATGTTTTTGACGACGATAAAGAAGATTTAATTTACTTTTAACAGTACTCCCCCAAGCAGTGTTAGCATAATTTAAGTAACTGTGGATAAAAGAGTAATAAAGTTGGCTTAACAATTTTTATTAAGGTAGTTACGAACTTTATATAGAATCCCAATGTTTTTCGAAATTTTAGTAGTAACATAATTTATGTGTTGATTCCAAGAGATATTTTCATCGAGATAAACGCCTAACAATTTTGTAACGGAATCATTTCAGTTTCGTCTAAATAAAGTAATAAGTCCATTTGATTTTATTAATATTTAAAGTTAGCTTTTTACATTTAAACCAGTTTGATATATGTTTTAGTTCTTTATTCATAGTGGTAAAGAGTTTATATATATTACTGCTTGAGAGGAATAGGTTGGTATCATCTGCATACATGATACTTATAAGGTTAGAAGCTTTATTCAAATCATTTATATATATCAGGAAAAGTAGGGGTCCGAGGATTGAACCTTGAGGAATACGGTATCCTTGAGGAATACGGTATGAGGAATACCGCGTACGGTATCAGGATAATTATTTTGATAACCATCGTTACTAATTACATATTGTTTTCTTTTTGCTAAGTAGCTTCTAAACCACTTTAAAGCAGTACCTTTAATTCCATAATATTTAAGTTTTTTGCAGAAAAATATAGTGATCTACAGTGTCGAAAGCTTTTGATAGGTCAATGAAGAGACCTAACAAGTACTGCGATTTTTCAAAAGATTTCGAGATTTCATGCACAAACTCGATTATTTCATGCTCCGTCGAGTTACCTTTTTTAAAGCCGAATTGTTTGTTATATAGAAAGTTATTTTTGTTGAGATGTTTGTATATTCTATTAGACATTATTCTTTCTAAAATTTTTGAAAATACTGAAAGAACAGAGATAGGACGATAGTTGCTAATATTTGATCTGTCACCCTCTTTAAAGGTAGGAGCAATTTTAGCAACTTTTAATTGTTCTGCAAATATTCCTTGGTTAATAGAAGCTTTAAAAACTTCAAAAAGAACATTTTTTAATATATAAAAACAATCTATAATTACATTTCCATTAATTTCATCTGCTCCTGTTGCTTTGTTTCTTTTCAAGGAATTCAAAGCTACTTCAAATTCCTCAAAAGATAATTCTGAGGTTAACTCATCGAAACCAGGCCTGGATTAACCATTAGGCAAACAAGACATTTGCCTTTGGCACCAAGCGTTTGGGAGCACCACAAGTCCTCAAGAAATATCATTTTTTTTAACAAAAGTCAACTGAAAAATGAACAAAACAACTAATTAACTATTGATTTTAATACAGAAATACTTTATTGTAGATTTTATATGAGTGATAGTAGTAAAAACTACAAACATATTTGTTAACAACTGTTTTCTTTGAATAATATTGAACATACCAGCGGTCACAGTCAGCCAAAAATTAGTTTTGTTTTTTGTATTTTTTCAACAATTAGAAAATTAGCGTGGTAAACAGAAAACAATGTTTTATAAATTGTTTCGTAGATGTTATTTCCATTGTCATTAAAATCAATATGATTCCAATAAAGTAAAGATCTTTACTTTATTAAGCTATCTTTAAATTGTTTAAGATTTTTTTGTTTGAAAATTCGTTTTTTTACAACTATTGGGGTGTTAATATTTTTTTCTAAATTTGAGTTTAAAATTAGGAATATAGGAAAATGATCGGATATATCAGTTTTTATGATACCTTTTTAAATACCTTTATTAAAAATGTCTGTTGTAATGATATTATCTATTAGGGTAGCCGAGTTTATTGTTACCCTAGTGGGGCGAATAATAATTGTATAGATCTTATAAGGGTATAGATCTTATAAGGGTATAGATCTTTATTACGCAATCTTCGCCGCGAACGGACGTGTTTTAAGCTTATTCAAATCAAATCAAATCAAATATATTCTGAAACATATTGTTTATCAATTCAAGGATATTTACAATAGTACGAGTACTAATATAAAGCAAATACCTAATACAAAATATCAATATAGACATTTAGAAATATATTAATAGTAATAACAATATTATATTAAAAGTGTAAATACCACTAACAATTAAAACAACAATAAACATTAAATCAATATATATATATATATATATATATATATATATATATATATATATATATATATATATATATATATATATATATATATATAGCAATAATAAGTAATTCTGATAGTAAAATAAAAATAACAAAAAAGTTAATAATCATCTGAATACAAAACAATAATGATAAGAATAATAAAAAATAATCATAATAAAAAAGAATAATAATCATAATAAAAAATCTAATATTAGCAATAAAAATAAGATAAATAGAAATGAAAGAAAATAAATTGATGATGACAATAAA